GCGGAAATCTTTACAGGAGCAGATTGCCAGGTCATTCTCCCAGGAAGCTGCTGAGCAGGTTCAAACCACGGACCTTGCAAGCACATCACTGTTGTGCCACCAGGGCTCCCTGAATCATCTGGAGAAACAATGTGGAAATGAACTGGCCGCTACCATTGGCCAGGCTCTGGGCTAAGCATTTCATGTGTTATAATATTTATCCTCAAAATAACCCTACAAGGTAGCTATTATCTTCCTTACTTACAGATGAGGAAATTACGGTATACAGAAGTCCCCAAACCTAAATACTTTCAAACAGGTAACTTAAAGGTGTGACGTGGAGTAGTAAAGGCAGTAAGGAACGGGTGGAAAATATACACATCTGCATAATCAACAGAGAAAAAACTGTCCTGGCTAAATGACACATGTCAAACTGCTCAAGGTCACAGAACTAGTAAGTGGTGGCCGCAGGCTCAGACCCTTTCCTCCATTTGTGGCCCGCTCTCTGGATGTGTAAGTGGATGCCTATAAAGGAGCCCAAGACAAAAACTTCAAGGTTTTGAACCCCGACAACCAGGACAGTGGTTACAGTACTAAAAATAAGTCAAGAAAGAAATCATGGCAAAAGGGTTTTTAACTGAATTTTTTCTCAATATCAAAGGGTAAATGACTAGCTGAGGTTACAACTGAAAGATTCCGTCTCACATATTTATACAATTTTGCAACCTTTGTGTTCTATGGCAATTTGAAAAAAAAAAAAGCATGCTTAGATATAATCTTAACTTCACATCACCTTTGAATTAAAAGTTAAACAAAAGACATGGAATTTGACTGCAATTGCAAAGCAGTGAACACAGAAAAAGATTCTATCTGAATCTGAAGACTTAGAATAGCAAAGTACAAAAATGTAAACAGTTTAGTGCATACAAAATACAATCCTAATAAATGTAACAAAATCTGACTTCAAATTCATGTTTGATACAATAAGCACGACACCTCCAGTTATGCTATGCTTAATGTTACTGTATGCACATGAGCATCTTTTAAAAACACCACTAATAATCACAGCTAAATGTTCTAAATATATTTTAATTCCAATTCAACAACATTATTAAAGTTCACTAATATAATCAATGGCAATGCAATGGTTACTTATAAAACTTTTTCTGGGACCCACGGCTAGAGTGTTTTTATAATTTCCTATATATGACCCCAATCTACCAGGTAAGGAACCTGCTGGCTCAACGGTTAAGTGTTCAGCTGGGAACCAAAAGGTTGGCAGCTCAAACTCACCCAGCAGCTCTGAGGGAGATAGAACTGGTGATCTGCTTCTGTAAAGATTACCGCCCAGAAAACCATAAGGGACAGTTCTACTCTGTCACATGGGGTCACTCGGGGTCGGAATGTATTTGACAGCAACCATCTACCAAGTTATGCTAACCGTAGGGCTGAAATAAATTCTGCTCCAACAAGTCTAGTATAAGCCTGAAGCCTTTCCTGAACCCAGTTTTTAAAGTTGGAAAGCTGAGTGTGCTTTCCCAGGGAATGCAAGTCAACTCAGTGTGGTGGAATGGGTACCGCCAGGCCTTTCTGTCAAGCTACACCTCACCCTTAGGACTAGACTAGATCATACCTGCCAGGCCTCCCTGTTAAGTTACCCTCACCTTTAGGACTAGACTAGACTCTACCTACCAGGCCCTCCTGTCAAGTTACCCTCACCCTTAGGACTAGACTAGACTCTGCCTACCAGGCCCTCCTGTCAAGTTACCCTCACCCTTAGGACTAGACTAGACTCTGCCTACCAGGCCTTCCTGTCAAGTTATTATCACCCTTAGGACTAGACTAGATTCTACCTACCAGGTCTTCCTGTCAAGTTACCCTCACCTTAAGGACTAGACTAGAGCCTGCCTACCAGGCCTTCCTGTCAAGTTACCATCACCCTTAGAACTAGACTAGACTCTACCTACCAGGTCTTCCTGTCAAGTTACCCTCACCTTAAGGACTAGACTAGA